TCCCTACATTCATTTAAGGTTTCCACTTGACAATCCCTGCACGGAACGGTGGAGGTTAACGGAAAACCCTCTGACCGCAGCCTTAGGATATACGCAATGGTAGTGTTTCCACCTCCTGAGAAAAGGCTCTAAACCTGCTAGTCTTAAGTACCTTAATGACAAAAAAGCCAGAGGAACAGTGCGTAAAAATAGTATGAGTTGCCTTGTGTGAGGGAACCGACTGCTGGAACCAGCTGCTCGCGCCGATAGAGCCAGACCTAAAAGTGGAACTTTCTCCTCATCCACAGCTGTGACAACACTCTTGGAGAGGGCGTGTGAACTGGCCGTGAACGCAGCGTGCGTGAACCTCCTCTTTGAATACCGGGACCCTCACTTCTGCTGCAGTTTCCCTAACCTTTGTAAACCTAGAGGCTGATACCAGAAGCTGGTTAAGCCTGCAATGAGCTGGTCACTAATTACAGTCTCTGCTTTGCCGCCATTTTTTCCACGGCACAGCATGGATTATAGAAGCGCGGCTGTGAATGGTTCAAAGAACCTTGGCGCACATCATCTATTGCGATGGGACATTTAATTGACCTTTATTTATTTCTTGAGCTTTTATCTAAGTGGCTATTCTGTCGGGCAAAACGGAATGTAAGAATTAGCAAGGTCATGCCTAAATTTAGAAATGCAATCATTTAATATTGAGGTATTGTGGTCGCGTAGCCTGATATAGTCGCTTCCTTTGTTTTCAAAGGATACTCTCGGTATTCCTGAATTTAATGTCAGAAAAATCACCATCTGCTATTGGATTTAAGCTCTTCCATAGCCTAGGTGACATTCCAGTCGCCCATTCTGTGTCACCCGGTTGTGTTCAGGCTGACCAATGGGGAAGCTGATACCTCAGAGAGTGAACATAGCGGTAAGAGTTCCACTGCTGAAAGTATACATGTGTTTGTACAAACCTCCTAGCCGAAGCACATGATGAAGGCCTTCATGTGGACCACTTGTGGTGCATCACTGCATGTTCTGACATCAGCTGGGACTTGGATGTTTCCCCTCCATCATGAATTCTTCAGGGTAGCATCTCTGCCGATCCATTTAATCCAGCTGCCCGCCTGCTTGTTACCCGGACGATGTTTTCTGGACGACGTCCCTCCTGGGCCCGGTGTCAGACTTGAGTGCACAGCTTGTGATTCAGTCATGAAACAGAGCCAAGATGCGGAAGTTTCAGCTGAGGACCTCCAGTCCAGTCCAGGGGCTCGGTGGGTGTGACAAATTCCTTTGCGAGTCCTAGCTTCCCGAGCAAGGACAGAGCTTTCTTCTGAGAGGAATTCAATCAATGTGGCAGTTTAAAAATAACACGGAACATCATTCACTCGGCTCATTGCCAGACGAAGTGGATGGGCCGAATGGATCACGACAAGCTCTAACTTATTCAGTTTCGGGTCCAATTCAAGATCGGTCCAATAACATTCTTTTTCTGTTTTGCATGAACTTTCTTCGTGGTTTTATAGGATGCTGTCGGAGGAAATCGTTTTTTTCTAAACCCGGTCGGTTACCTGATATCGGAAACAACCTCTCAGAGATTTATTGGTCTTTCGTCCCCTGTAGTGTTACACTTGCTTTGTACCCTGTGGTGAAAACAACATGCATTGCCAGGAGTGATATTACTGGGTTCCTACCTCTGCTATATCGAGTTTGGGAATTTTAAGTTTGCATTCATAACATTGAGATTCTCCTATATAGACAACTTCATCGAGCATTCATGAGTTTTTTGTTTCTGGGGAAACCCGCAAGTGGGCTATTGTAAGCCACCGTAACATTAGGCTTTCCAGAATATTCTGTGCTGACGTCGGAAGCCAAAAATCGAAGATCTGAATCTCGCTCAAGGGGAGAGGGCAGGGACCGATGGATCTGTAATGCCGGGGATTTCATCGCAACATTGCACCGAGATTATAACGGCAAGGCAAGCCGTGTTCCTGACAGTGGAAAGTCAAAGATTAAAGTTGTTGGACTTTATCCAGCTCTGATGTTTAGAAAGAGCAGGGGGTTTTATGGGGCACAGAGAACGTGCAGTGTTTTAAGGCACGATTATCCCCTGGAATGTCCAGCCCGCGCATTATCCCCGCGATAAGGGCAGGCATCCTGTCTTCCTGGATAATGCCTGCCAGCATTCCTCCAGGTGTGAAAGCTTGGTTCAGAGACGACTTGGGGGGGCTTCTCTGCATTGTGTGAGCTCTCCCTCCCTCGCAAGCCCCGACCAGACATCCTTTCCCAAGACCGAGCTCAGGATGACAGGGACATCTGGGCCGCAGGATGCGACGGTGGAAGTAAGAAGGAGACAGGAGGCACCTGCCACCCGCCAGGCATTCATCATCACTTCCCGCCGGCTGGGTAACTGCAGCAGTGTTCGCAGTGCCAGCGGGCTGCTTCAGAGCAGCAGCTGGGTACCCTGTGCCTGAGGAGGATGTCATCATTTGGACGACACGTCGGCAGCCCTTAGCCCCTCCTACGTGTGACCTCACATACAGAACCTAGCCTTAAGCCCCCTTGCGCTGCTAGACGAAAGTCAAACGTCTACACATTACAAGTACAGCCTTGGTTTGTCCTAGTGTAAGATGTGTGGATCGCTGTGGGTTTGCAGGTAACAGCTTGGATTGTACGTCAGTGGGAGCCTTGTATACACGCTCTAAGCATGGGGCTGGTAAACCATGACGATATTCATTCCGATTGAGGTTTTGTTTTTTTTTTGTATGTCCCCCTGAGCGACACGGTATCCCACACGAGCTTTGCAACCTTTTAGCTGAATGTCAAGCTAACTTAAGCCTCGTTGCTATGCTAACACCGAGTCGACAGTCTGGCCTGTGAAGCACTGGAAGACATGTCCGTGTCTGACTTAGTAACAGGTTTGGGGGAATGTAGCGACATTTAAGGATGTGAAGTGTCAATGCTATAAATGGGCCGAAAATGCTAATCAAAGTCGAACGTGCCATTTGTAAACATTGACTGTACTTCATATTAATTATAATGTATTTATGAGCCAGGGTGTGTTTTTCAGTGATCCGCGTGTTTTAGATTATGGTGAGAAGGCAGTGCAAAGCACCGATATGTGAAATCCGAAGCCGTCGCCCCCTATCTGCATACCGAGGACTGGCACATTTTTGGAATGGATTGTTTTCACATGCAATTAGATTTCTCATTATTGTGTTTCGTCCAAACCAGGTGTTGTTAAGATACATATCTCACAGTTATTATCAGATGAATGGCAATTGGATAACACGATAAGTGACATAGCTAATTTAATTAGAGCTCACAGTATCTCCCAGTATTCTGTTACCATCTGATGTCTGGTTGCTTAGTTACAATGAAATCAGATGAGTGAAATCAGATTAATAATAGTAATGAAAGATTATTCTTGGGTGATACTTGAGTTAAGTGACATAGCTCTTAGTGTTTTTATGTTGAATATGAAGAGTCCTTTCTGTATATTAATACATCTGTCAAGTAAAAACGTAGGATTTCTAATGTTTAATCATCTTTTTTTCCTTACCATTCCTTTTTACATCATGTGAAAAACACTGCATATTGAAAATCCAATAAACTCCTGAATGCAAACCCCTGTTTTGCTATCAAAAAATGTTAATATCAGAGATGAAATTGAGAGGATGGGAAAATGGAATATTTGTTTGGATTACTTTGACAATTATCTTTGCTCTTCTGGCTAAGCAGCTTAGATTGTGGCTTTAAAGTGATTTTTAAAGCAAAGCTTTAAGAATCTCGGATTCCCATTTGTAGATAACAGTGGACACCTGACAGTATAGGACTCTTGCCTGATCTTTCCCTGAACAGAGCAGTCTATAAGGTGATTAGGCAGGAATGGTTTTGGCATTCTGATAGTTTACATTAAGAGATTAATGGGTAGTATGACTGTTGTAGTATGTTACTGTCTAAGATGGAAGAATTTGACCATTTCTGGTGAGTTAACATCTAGAATTTAAATGGTTAAGAACAGTAGAACCACTCTAGCCTTTTTATATAAAGCAAATCCAAATATGAACTAAACGGCTACAGTTGCTGAAATGCATCTTGATGAGGACCTCACAAAGACATTAATTTCTGCTGCTTCTGCCTCGGCAATGTTGCTCATTCAGTGAAGTGGCGTCTCTTTCGGACAACATTTGGCGTCGTCGGTGTCTTGTGGCGCTGGCGTTGAGCTGAACAGATCCAAAAGCAGTTGGTGGCATAGTCCTGTACAAACCATATATGTCACTTCAAGAATGTTGATGCAGACGTGCTGGCAGCAGAACCCAAAAGACAGACTTGGAATGTTCTGGAAGAATTCTGCATCTGGGGCCATTTGCTGGTTATTAATGTTGTTACTGCTCTGGCTGTGGGCTATGAGGGCTAGCCGCAGACCACGAGGAGCGCTGGTGACCACGGCTGCTCATCTCTGCTCCAGGAGATTTACCACCCTGAGGAGCTTAGGTGCAGCCCTGATTTAACACACCTGATAGATGATCAGGTCCTTCAATAGCATCTCGGTGTCAGATGCCATTATATGCCAGCTATATTGAGGCTCTCCAGGTTGGTAGATCCAGGAGCAGGAATGTGCAGCCTTGATATAGGTGGTCTTCAGCCCGCCCCAGCCGACAAGACTGCAGCGTCGGGGGCAGACAAACGCCGCCAGACGCACTCCATACGTTTTGTTTTCAGAAGTGGGCTAAAAATGGACACAAGTAGATCGTGTCAGCAAGACAGAAAGGGCGTGTTTAGACAGAGGTCACAGCGATATGGGGGGGGGGGAGGTTGTGGTATTAATGTGGAGTTTTGATGCTCATTCCTGTGGTAATCTGCATATTTCACATACTTCTCTTGATGAACCATCTTCATGAGAACCATCTGGATAGAATAGTTTTCGTTGGATATCATTTAATTACTGGATACTGATCATATGCATATATATGTTTGAGCCACTGTACTACAGTTGTACATTATATGTTGTTTGCTTTTCTTTTTAGGCTACGTCACTATCATGGCAGTGAACCTCCGAAGTGAAAATACTACACCGTGGACCGAGGAATTCGGCTGTAAGGGAAAACCATTTCTGTTTTGTTTTTTTTGCTGCTAGATGGGTAGAAGGACTGCAGTGAAACTATAGAAGTTTGTTGTTGAGATGGAGTCGATTTTATACAAGCGAGTGTCTCTCCCCACGTGCCGCTGCCAAAACTCAGTCTGTACTTTTCCTCTTTCAGCCATCGAACTATCGTGTAAGATAGAATCCATCATTACAGAAAAACCACGCATTGAATGGAAGAAGATAAAAAATGGTGAACCCAGTTATGTTTATTTTGCGGACGAAGTATCAGGTAAGTTAAGCACAGCTCTCAGCATCGTTATTGTCCTACCACACCATTTTAGCTGTCTCTTTTGGAGGGAGCTCATTTCTCTTCAATTGAGCTTCCCATCCTTTGAAGTCCTTAGTTAAATTGCCCTAATGAGATGCGTAAAATATCTAAAAAATATCAAATTATACGAAAAGTTTATAATATGAAAAAAAATGTTTTTTTTTTTGTGGAAGCTGTCAGTGGTTTGATTTTAAAGGCAAGTGCTAAAAACATCCATCCATCCATCTTCCAACCCGCTTATCCTACTGGGTTGCGGGGGGGTCCCTATCCCGGAAGCAATGGGCACGAGGCAGGGAACAACCCTGGACAGGGGGCCAGCCCATCGCAGGGCACACTCACACACCATTTACTCGCACATGCACACCTAAGGGCAATTTAGGAACTCCAATCAGCCTCAGCATGTCTTTGGACTGTGGGGGGAAACCAGAGTACCCAGAGGAAACCCCATGACAACACGGGGAGAACATGCAAACTCCACACACATGCAACCCAAGTGTGGAGACTCGAACCCAGGTCCCAGAGATGTGAGGCAACAGCACTAACCACTGCACCACCATGCCACACTGCGCTAAAAACATAATAAGACCTATTTAAACCTGCTTTTGCTTCCTGCAGGGGATTTAACAGGCAGAGCGAAACTTATGGAACCCGCATCCTTATTTATAACCAATGCAACCAGAACAGACACCGCGCAGTACCGGTGTGAGGTCACCGCCCATAAGGATGACAAGATTTTTGATGAGATTTTGATCAACCTTACTGTAAGAGGTATGTGTGTCCTGTGTTTCAATTTTTTATGTTTATTTGTTTTGTAGCCTTCGATATAATGACGTCTGTGGACCCCAATTGGGCATTAAAATGGCTTTCTTTGGATGCTCAACATAGTGCCAGGGGTTGAAACTGCAGCTCAGCTGCTCAGAATAATTTAGATGGGCAACCAATTACAGATATATTCTCAGAAGAGATTCTTGCAGTTTTGTTGTTGCCAGTAACGCTCCCCGCAAACTTCCATGCGGAGCGTATACTGTAATCCTGCGAGACCACAGCCCATCCTTTACCTGTAAACACGTGGGAGTTCCAGCCATTTTGCGAGGGGCGTTTCTCAGTTATTTCCATCGAAATCCATTTGTATTAATGTCCCCCACCTGTGACGCTGTAAGCTGACACCGTATTGCGTGGGCCGCCATTTCTTGGCCTGAGCCCGCGCTGCGTTCTGACAGGCCGCCACCCAAGGCGTGTTCTGGGCTATATAGGGAAAATCTCTGAAACCGCATCCGAGTTTAACCGGGGCTAAACATGGACGGTGTAGTATGCTGGGTTGGCAAAGTTGAGATCTGTGCTTGGATGCCCTTCCGCGCAGATTCATCGATCTTTATTTGCCCTTCATGGACCGTGGGTTCACCAGCCGTTGGCCGGCTCGATTTCTGACCTTCTGCGGCATCTTCCGCAGTGAAGCCGGTGACTCCCAGGTGCAGCGTGCCCACATCTGTGCCCGTGGGGAAGACGGCCGAGCTCCGGTGCGAGGAGAGCGAAGGATACCCCAAACCGCAGTACCAGTGGTTCCGGAACAATGACGAACTTCCCCTGGACCCCAAGACCAGTCCCAAATTCTACAACTCCAGCTACAGCCTGGATAGCAGCACAGGAACGCTGGTCAGTGGGTGGGGTTTGTTGGGATGTGGAGGGGGCGAAGGCGGGCCTTTGGGTGGAGCAAGGGTAACAGGAGGGCATTTGAGATATTTTAGGGAGACAGTTGATGTACAGGAGGTCTAAACCACGTAGGCAATCTGCTGTTATCGTGTTCGCATTCCAGGCCTCACTGATCTGTCGCGTGCACTTCCATATGGGCGGCCAACCAGCTGCACCCCCTTCTGAAGGTTGCCGTTATGATACCTCCAGTGTGTACCAAAGAGGGTACAGTAGGCTACCCAAGGAGAATTTCAAACTCTTCCTGGGTGCCTTATTTCTGTATCTAGAGCTCCAGAACCTGCAACCCCTCCAGCGTGGGAGGAGCGTTCTAGCGGTTCCCAAACTGGACCGGAAAGTAGCCCATCATGCGTATCCGGTACTCCACCGCATACTCCATGGAGCCGTGGGGCAGAGCTCTGCTAACGGGTCTTCCTAATTTGTTTGGTCCGCAGAGGTTCAGTGTCGTCAAGAAGGAGGACGCGGGAGAGTACTACTGCAGAGCAAAGAACGAGGCAGGGAACTCACAGTGTGGCCCTCAGAAGATGGAAGTCTGTAAGTGGGTCGTCTGTCATGGCAGGATCCTCCAAAACTATCAGCCAAGCCCCAGGGCTAACTGTTGACACAAATCATGAACACATGAATGAGCCGCAATTCTGGTCAAAGAACTTCCTAACAATAACTTTGATGTTATATCAGGAAATGTCTGATCTTCGTGGACTTTGGACATGCAGTAATTTAAGACCACCTAGGTGTCTGACTGTTTCTGTTATAAGAGGGCGTCTTCCGGACTGCTTGTTGATGTTTTTTTTTTTTTCTTGCTCTCTTCCAGATGATATCAATGTCACGGCCATCGTACTGGGAGTGCTGGTGGTGGTCATTGTGCTCTTATGTATAACAGTTGGCATTTGCTGCGCTTGCAAAAAGGGCTACTTCGGAATCCAGACACAAACAGGAAACAAGTGAGTGAGGAAATTACGACGACGTGAAAAATAGGGATTGCATGTAAAATTAAACAATTCTTACACCTATAAAGTTATTTGGTGCCAAAATAAATTTCAACACCTTTTTTAAAATTTTTCATTCCTTAACGCTTTAAGAAACAAATATTTTCATTTTAAGGAGCACCACTTTAAGTGCCTGAGTTCAAATGACTTTTGGAGGAAATGCAAAATTAGGCCTACAATTATAGTAATGAGTTTATTTGAGATGGGTGAAAATTGGCACAAGATTGAAACCCAGGGGTCTTTCCAAAATGACCTCAGACTTGCAGATGTACTGAATCTCACTTTATTGCCTTTGTATGATTTCTGGTTACCCAAATGAAACAGTCTTGCCCTTCAAAGCCGTATATTTCAGGTATGATGCATGTATTGGGGTGCTGTGACATTTATGTGTTTTTATTTGTCCTGTCTCACAGCTACAAGGCCCCATCCAAAGGAGATGGAGTGGACTACGTTAGGACAGAAGATGAGGTGAGTGAACAGGATTTGGGGATTGACCATTCCTCCTGGGGTAGACTGTGGATAGAATGCAACACCAGGCTTTCACACTGGCTTTTAACTAAAGGTCAATTTATCAAGCCACATCAACTTTAGAGAAAAGGTCAATTCATCAAACTCCATCCACAAGTGACTTAACATTCATGCTGTTTCTCACCAAAAATTTTTAAAAATGCAAGATGGGTGGGTAGTGGAATCTGTGGTCGTGGCGGTTGGAAAAATTGTAAAGCGCTGATCTGATCTCTTCCTGATTATTTTTCCCCAGGGTGATTTCCGGCACAAATCTTCGTTTGTCATCTGAGATGGGGGAGGAAGTGGCCGACGTGAGATTAAGCATAAGGTGCAACACACCCTCGTGAACCTCTGGGGTCCCGTGGCAGCGTCCAAGTGGCTAATGTACACGCCTTCCACTGACGCTTAGCTTGCCTGACAAAACTGATGAAATAAAAAATGTATCATAAATAATTGGAAAAGAAACAGCCGAGATGTGGAATTACGACCTTCGACTTCTGTATAAATCTCCATGTACTCTTTGTCCTGTAAAAACCCCTCTGTCACCAAAACAAACGTCGTATAGCCACACTTCTATTTTATGGCAGTGGTATGTTTTTATTATAATTTTTAAATGTAGATGGCAAATTCGAGAGCGAAAAATTAGAAAAAACAGCCAACAAGCCTCCTACATTAGAGGAGATCCAGACTAAAATACCAATTTATACGGTAAACACTGCTACTTCAACCCTGTTGTTATGTGTATAACATAACCATTTTTTTGTACCAGCAAAATTTGTCAAACTATTTTTGATGGAATATATTTTGAAATGTCTATAGATAAAAGGTTTACTTTTTTAAATGTTTGTAAAATACTAACACTTAAAAACCAATGTTTTTATTATTTGGTTGTGAGAAGATGTCAACATTTCAGTGACGATTCAGTATTCAGTTTCATTTATACGTGATGAAATAGCCAACTTTTTATTAGTAAATTGTCATATCAGGTTCTTATTTTTTTTGTTTTCGATTGATGGTCTTACAGTTTGTTTTCTGCTGGGATTTAAATATGTTGATATTTTTTAAGAAATTTCATGTCTTGTAGATAGTCCAAAAACAATACTGAGGCACTGCATTAGAACGTTGTCGAGCACTAAGGTGTCAGTGCAGAGTATCCTTGATTTAAGTGACCTTCTGTGTTTGCTGTTCATCTTGTAAATATCAGATTTATCCACATAGGTGTTTTTTTTTTTTTTAGTTGGAGGTACTTTCAGTATTATGTGAAATATAACACAGGGTTTGTTTGTCGGCTGATAAGTGTCGTATTAGTTGTAAATAAATTAGCTGTGCAAATCAGCAGNAAAGATATACCGTGGCAACAGAGGAAAGCGAAGAGTCACATCCCTAGGTGAGGCTATATGATGCTCTTTACGTGGTTCTAAGGAAGCCAGTGGACGACTGGTGGTAGAGGGAGGATCTGCCTTAGCTGGTGCATATTGGCACGAGCAGGGACTGCTTCGTGAAATTTTAGCTGTTAATGAACTATTCCATTCTCGATATCAAACCGTCACACTGCTTGGAGGATATTTTCAACTCAGTTGTTGGAGTACACCCTAAGCCCTTAGCATAGTTTGACACCTTCAGGAAGGGTAGCGAGGCAAGTCTTCATGCCACTGTTAATTTTTTTACAGTATACCGAGTTGTGCGGGCCAGCGCCACTCTGCGTTTCCGTGACGGCACTGAGAACGTTAACCGTCGATTAGCTACACTGCTGCTCTCAAGTGCCTTTTTATTCCAGCTGCACTGGGTTCGAACACAATCCAGCTCAGGAGACCTACAGGCAAAAACGGAGATCTGCTTGTATTTGGCGGTGCTGATTACTACTCTGCTAGGACCCATGAGTCTTTACACTCCTGTAGCATGTTAATCGTATAGGTATCCACCCTAACCCTCCACTTATATTTTTACAATTAAATAACTTTTATTGCATCAGACGCTATGGGGATTTTTGCATCCCCATGCCACAACCAAAAATTAAAAAGAATAATCAGAGATTCATTGGATCACAGAATCAAATTGTGGTACAAGCCAAATCCTTTACTAAGCAACAGTCCTGGTCTATCCACGGACAGCTATTAAAACATTTAGTTTTAATAAGGATTTGTCTTTCTGCTTTTTAGTTCTCCACTCTCAACAATCCTCTCTTAATGCCACTGTAACATTTTAGTTTTTGCAGAATTAAAAGGTTAATCTTTTACTTTCAAAAAGTAGATTTTATTATGTAATAGTGCCTGAACAAAGTGAATTGTTATTAATATGTAGCACTAGTTTGCCAATGCACAAGCAGACATGCATATTCACTTAGTCACTCAACATACACAATCGGTATATACATTGTGAAGTGAAACTTTAAAAATTGTGTCATGTTGGCACAAACACAATCAATGTGACAATGAGGGAGCAAATGTTTGGGATTAAGCAATGACTGCAGTAAAAGGGAACTCCTGACATTTAACTTATTAAAGATGAAGAGTTTCTAATGTACAAAAAAGAAACCAGTAAAGATTGGAAAATAATTCCTTAAAGGGGGCTAAGCAACAATGGTCAGCTAGGTCCACAAACCCTTTAACAGTGTTGATGTTACACACCCCCTGTTGATTTCAGCGGCGATACTCAGCTCCACTGGTTTGGACATTAAAATCGCAGATTTTTCTGAAAGGGCGCCGATTCCCTGCTACTGGTTTTCATGTTTGTCTCTGGAAATGTCCTCTGTTGGGGCCTGGTACACATCTTGTGGGAGTTCTCCAACTGTATATTTCGATTAATAAAGTTAACTCCTAGTGCGCTGTCGTGTCTTTATTTATACACTCCATGGAGAAAGAAAAAAAGAAGAAGCGGGTGTACAAACGGGACATCTTATCAGAGGGGACTCCCCCCACGAGAGGGGTCTCCCCCCACAAGAGGGGTCTCCCCCCACAAGAGGGGTCAGCCTACAGCCGACGTCCTCTAGTCTTCCGGCAGAGGGGAGACTCCACATTCCACTGTCTGGGAGGGGCACGTCTGAAGCAAAAACAGCAGTGGGGGGTTAGGGGGGTCAGAGAGAAATCCTTTGGGTGACAAGGATACTTCTATCCATTTGAAGATCTGCAGTCACACATCGACACTGAAAGTTTGAGTCGTTCACGTCTCCCTCACAGACGTTAAGCGTTTACTCACGGCTTATCTGGAGACATCAGGAAAAGCACGTTGTCCTGGCTTCCCGGACTCCTAGGCTCTGTTAAAGCAGGGATGCGAGTGAGGAGCCAAAACACACCCAGGCAAACCGGATGGCAACACAGACAGCATCGGGCATACCTGTCCCATGGGCACTGAAGATGACACTGAGACCATCCCCAAAGGTCACCTCACTCATGGTCCCTGGGGGGGGGTGGGGGGGTGCATAGGTCAGTAGTGTGAATCTAGAACATAGCGTGTCACTTTGGGGCCATCAAACTGAGTTGCAGATCTAGAACAGCACCACAGGAACCTATGTGTTAAGCAACACCAAACTCCTCTTAAATCTGTCTTCAGATGCCATCACTCACGTCATGATCTCATTTAGCCTCACGCTTCTATGCCAAAATGGAGGAACCTCAAAAGGTTCTTAATTTTAGAGGTGTTCCTTCAGTCCACATCTCATAATATTCAATCCAATTCACAATCATAATTTTCTGATGCAAGGCATGAACAGTCATAGGATGGGCTTTGATATTTACTTTGCGGAGTACTGATGGCCCGGTTGGCAACAGAAGAATCTCCGGTGGTGGAACCCTGAAGATGCCTGGAGATCATTGCTGAGGATGGAGCACAAACAGTGTCACAATGAGTCTGCCCAGACGACGTTCTAGGTGTAGCTCATCTGACACCGCAGTACCTGAACCATTGACGGGAGTGTTTTGGTCGCTGGCCGACCCCGCACGACCGCGAAGCAGCCTACTCGTTCTCGCTGCTGTCCGGGCCTTGCTGAGTACCTCGCTGGTGCTGAGAGTCTGACGCCTGCTGTTTGAAAGCAGAGCGATACCCTGGGGCTGGTAACCATTCGCATGATGCAAGGTGGTGGCAAACGAGACCATCTGGAGAACTGCATTCTTTGACATTACTGTAGCCTGTTTAGTCTGCTCACCTGGATGAGCCCACATTTTTCGAGGAAAGGAAGCAGGGGGGCGCAGAGCCTGGCACCTGGGGTGTGGCCTGGACCATCAACACTGCCCTACCCACAGAAGGACTGGGGGATGCGGGAACAGGAGCCTGTAGACAGACATGAAGCTGCATTTCTTTGTATCAAGTCACTAGATCTGATCAAAACTAACAGACTGGTCTTTGCTTCACGTAAATCCACAGAAAAGCGAATTACCCACTCCAGTAAAACACATTATAGAAATAAAAGACTACCGTCCCCACCGAACTTCACGTGTGGAGTTAACATGCTCCTTTGCTTTCTTGTAGGTGAGGTAGCATCTATAAATGGCCACTGATGTGAAATGAAGGGACCCTTCACTTGCCATTTGCACAAACGCGAGTAGAGGTACATTAGAATTCTTTAGTTTTCAAATATCCCATCTTAGTCTCCGACAGACAGACAGACAGACAGACAGACAGACAGACAGACAGGACGTAAGAGCAAAGCTCAGAGGTGCGGTTATAGGATTCAACCTTTGCAATAAGTCAGTTTGTGAAATTCCTTCCCTGCTAGGTATTCCACGGTCAAGTGGAAACATTTAGGAACGACAAACTCCGCCACGAAGTGTCAGACCACATAAACTAAGAGCGGGGTCGCCAAGTGCTGAGACGCATTGCGTGTAAAAGTCGCCAACGCCCTGTTGACTCAATCACTGCAGAGTTCCAGACTTCCTCTGACATTAATTCCAACACAAAAACTGTGCCGCGAGCTTCATGGAATGGGCTTCCATGGCCGAGCAGCCGCATGCAAGCCTCACATCACCAGCACAATGCCAAGAGTCAGATGGAGTGGTGTAGAGCACGTCACCACTGGACACTGGAGCAGTGGAAACGTGTTCAGTGGAGTGACGAATCTCACTTCTGTGTCTGGCAGTCTGATGGACGGGTCTGAGTTTGGCGGATGCCAGAAGAATGTTACCTGCCTGACTGCATTATTGCCAACTGTAAAATTCTGGTGGCGGAAGGATTATGGTATGGGGTTGTTTTTCAGGGGTTGGGCTGGGTTCCCGAGCACAATCTTTCCCCACCAATCAGCCATTTAATCCCCTAGAGCAGGGATATTCAAATCACGGTCCTCGAGGTCTGAACACTGCTGATTTTCCAGCCTTCCTTTCCCTGTGAGCCAGGTGTGAAGCCTCTGACCAATCAGAACCAGTAATTATTAAACTAACTACCTGGGAGAACTGAAAACGAGGCCTGGATTTGGAATCGAGGTCCAGATTTAAAGGGCTCGGCCTTAGAGCATCGCAGGCCTTGTTCTAGAGCCCAATGAAGATGTAGCTATTCTGACATAACCCACTGAGCCACAGGCCACCAATGTGGATCCCGGTGCCTCCCAGGTATTCCCCACTCCTCGTGCTTCCAGGGATAATCACCAGGCTCACTGTAATCTTGCAATGGATGAGCAGATACGGAAAAACTGAACAGATGAAGGATGAGGGGTGATTTCGCTTGTGTGTAAATGCGGGCTATTACCAGAGCAGCTCCTGCCATGACGTTGGAGGCCAGTGTGCTGGCAGGGCGGGAGTCAGTCAGTCCGCAGCTCGACATCTGCTGCTCCATCTCCTGCTCCTTTTCAAACCTCTTCATGTCATACTCCAGCTCGGCGGCCAGCTGTTCATCTGCCACGAAGAAGTCCTTCACCTCGCTGCGGTAGTCCTGCATCATCACCTATGGAGAGCGGGGGGACACAAAAGCCCACTTGCTGCATAAGACAAGTGCACAAACAGTTCATCTGAGGAAAGTCGGAAGATTCGTTGCCATGTTTTAGTCACAGGTCAGTTGCTCATCCATGTTACTTCTTGCTGACAGAAAACATCTCTGCTTACCTGCAGATAGCCCATGAGGTCCTTCAGCACTGGGAAGCGTTTCTTCTCAAGCATGGTTTTCAGCGCAATGATAATAGGAATCACATTCTCGATGAAATTCTTCTTCTGGACCTGAAGCATGGAGGCCACAGCAGTTTTACTATCAACAGCGCCCTCTGGAGGATTTTAGCAGCAACTCACAGCAACTGTGATGCCAATGGCCTCCAAGCAATGTACCGAACCAGAGAGGAAAAGATTGGGATCAACATCCATCCCCACCCCCCCAACCCCATTTTTGGTAATAAGTGTGAGGACTCTCTAGCAGGGTCTCCATCTGGCCTTGTTGTCATTACCTGCGAGATGAGCTTCTTCTGGGCCACCTGCATGACGGCGTTGGCCATGGCCAGCTGCTCATCGTCCTGCTGCTCGTCCCTCTCCACGGGGCTGCGCATGGCCGAAAGCTTAATCTCCTTCAGGCTCAACACGTCAAAGGCGTCCGAGAGTATCTCAGCCCCCTCTGCGTCCAGAGGCAGTATCCCGTCCACAAAGTTTGCTAGGGAGTTGGGGGGAAAATGGGTACATACACAGCCAAGAATAATAGTGACACACGCCTTGGGTCGTCTACACAGTAGAAGAGCTCCCAGGAAAGCCGTTACTGTATTCTGGAATAGGATGTTTAGCTTACAGTACTCAAGCGAAGAAACTTTACAAAGTGCTCCATATGTTAAGCAATAATAATGAATATGACCTGACTCTCACCAAGAATAGTCTGGCTGATTTTGGTGGTGATATTGAAGCGTTGCTCATCCGTGAAATGCTCCAGTAAGAATCTGTAGATCTTCATCCTCTTCTCCTTGTTTTTTGCCCCTTGCAAAGAGAACTGGTCTCTCTCTCTGAAAGGCCACAGTGCCGACAGAACTTATACAGGCAGAACGACCAATCTGCCGTGTATGCGAGATGGAAATTTTTGGGACGCAAACCTTACCTGGCCGTTTGCGGAAACTTGTTGTACTTCTCGTGCTTCTCGTAGGAGTTGAAGTGGAAAATGCACTCGATGAAGTGCTGAGAGAACATGGTCGGGTTCCTTTTAAGGAGCAGGTGAACTAAGCAGAATTCGCAGAGACTGGGGAGGGGCGAGGACAGACAGACAAAGACCCGTCATAAAATGCTCTAGAAATGTCACATAGATACAGAGCTGGAGATGAAAATTGTCAAGAATCTGAACAACTAATAATTCAAGGAGATGAAGGAGCAGAAATGGAATTTCTTTGTATACAGTATGTGCATTCAGAAAACCCTTTTCTGCAAAGAAGCCATTAAATTATGTTCGGAGCATCTCCTACTGACAGCCCTGAAGTCAATTAAAAGCTTTGCTGAAAAACAGGGTTTTCCCATCCTGGAGAAACAGACATAAGCAAGAGAGGGAAAGTAGGGAGACAGCAAATTAAAGCCCACAAGAGATGGAAGCAGGTCCAGTACCTGGCAATCTTAGGCTCGGGGTCCACGAGCACAGCCACGAATCGGAAGAACAGTGAGCCCCTCCACTTCACAAACTCCTCCTGTGAGCAAAGTGCTGGATTACTCATCCACAACGTGCCAGAAACACCAAACACTGACTTATAATATTTTAAATAGTTTTTCTTAGGATTTCACTCTCTTCTCTGAAGTGGCTCCCATGACACGCAACATAACTCAATGGTGAACCAATGTGGGAATTTTGACCAACACCAATAATCAAAATATTTTTGTCTAATATCCATCCATCCATCCATCTTCTGAAACTGCTTAATCCCCAACTGGGGTCGCGGGGCAGACTGGAGCCTATCCTGGGAACAATGGGTGCAGGCGGGAACCAACCCTGGGAAGTTGCCAACACACCACAGGGCGGGCGGGCGCGCGCGCACACACACACACACACACACACACACGGCCAATTTAGACTCACCAAATCATCCTATCCTGCATGTTTTTGGACTATGCGAGGAATCTGGAGCCCTCGGTGAAAACCCACACGAACACGGGGAAAAGCACGTGAACTCCACACAGAAAGGACCCAGGACTGAACCCAGGACCTTCTTGCTGAGGCCACAGTGCTAACCACTGCGCCACTGGGCTTTTGGTCTAATATGAAAAACAGATCTGCAGCCAGATTTAAATAATGAATTAAACACACAAAGGCTGGTAGTTTTAGACGTGATTGAGCTGACAAATCCCTCACCCTCTGTGACAAAAAAAAAATGGCTGACCATCATCTGCATTATTTTAGCCATTACGTTTGCAGCTTCTGTGCCACTAATTCTGCATACTGCCTAAAGTTAAAATAAATCAATCAGCAAAAAAAAATATCAATGTTTGATTTTTAATAAACATCAGCAAATACCAAATACGTTAACCTATATATTGTGCAAATCAAAAACTCACTGGTCACCTCTAGGCCTGTCACTGTTTGGCACATTGAGACAGAACAGCTCTCACGTGACAGAAGGAAAGGGTTCGTAATCCCGCCCTGCAGCAGCGATTAAACATCTAACATCAAGTTTAAACATCGGTGGGGTTCGGAATGACATGAAAGTCCCGTTTACACCACTGAAAATAAATGAGCCAATTAAATACCCATCTCACTTTCCCTTGCAGGGTCTCTCTGGACACTATCCTAGCAAAAGTCATGGCACCACACACTTAAAGGGAGAACATAGATTCCGCAAAGGGTGCAGATCCATGGTGAAGCTGAGCTCAATGCCCCCTTAAAGAGTTAGTGAAGCAAAAACACCATCATCCTTACAGCAGAGCATACTATAAAACTCCACAGCCCTAGACCAAAACAATAATTAAGGCAAAAAGCAGACCAACATGCTGTTATTATCTTGGAGTAAATGAATACTTATGAGTAAAGCCTGCATCCTTAATTCATGCAGAGAGGCCAACCTTATCATTAGCCAATGATACATTTTGAATCCGAGTGACAGGGGAGGGGGGCACTTGGGAGACCAATCGGCTTTCAGCTGGGGCCAGTGGCCCCGTTGCCCCGCCCCTGTGTGATTCCCTTCCTCACCTGCAGGAGGTTGGTGAGCAGGATGAGGGTCTGCTCGCGGATGAGCGGCTCGCGGTCCTTCAGGCAGGCCGAGATGTTGGGGATGTAGCGGTCCACCATGGTGGTGTAGCGCATGCACAGGTCGCACATCACCACCACCACGTTGCCGCGCACCGGCACCTCGGTGCTCACCTCCAGCTCGCGGGCCAGCGCCGGGATGCAGCTCTTGGCCAGCTCCTCATTCTGCAGACACAGCTTGCCTGCCGTTCCCCGGGGGAGAAGCGGCAGAAGCAGCGTCAAACCCCATCTGCCCCATTAACCGCCACTGAATCATAGATAGCCAACTGCTATTTTTACCATCTACATTTGTGTGGAGCTACTGCAAACCTTCAGTTTCCTTTGGGAATAAAAGAAATATCCATCCATCAATCCATCCAATCACAAAAAGAAAAACAAACATGCTTCTGAAGGAAATTGTGAAAAATTGAATGATAAGGAAAGTGAAATAAAAAAATAGGTTTCATTTTTTTGTCAATTTCAGGCAAGGCAAAGCAGGGACTGGAGTGTGATGAGGATAAACAGACAAACACCAGACATACGATGCTCTAGATATGGTCTTTCAGGAGATCAACTGCTGAACAGTGTAAGAAGGGAACTACCAACTGAGCGACGGATCAGAACTCAGAACAGAATTTCCTAGGACCCTGAACAAACATGATGTACCAGTCATACTTATTTCTACCACAATGCTCGAATTCCACTCCGAACTATCACGCAACAGCCAGTCTGAGAGGGTATACGAGGAAGAGCAGTACGTGACGTTACCCAGGGTGATGAAGGCATGAGCTCGGACCACAGTCGGCATGGAGGAGGCCTTGAACTGCGACAGGGGCTGACTGGCGGGGAGCTCATCCGGCTTGTCAGCTTTGAGAGACACAACGGGATTTGTACCACATTGAAGTTTGAGGGCCGATGTGTAGGATAGCATGTCACTGATATGAACCTGTTAAACCATGAGTTTTGATTATATTTACATTTTAATATTTATTATTCTCTTTATTTAAAGTGAGAATTTTGTGAAAGCAGAGCCAGATGGTAACTGGAGTAACTGGGAGTTCGGGACCTTGCACAAAGACCCAAGAGTGAAATTACTCCGGCAACCACTTGGACGGGCAGCTGTCTGATCGCAGGCACAGCGTCCTACCCGGCTGAGCAATAATCGTTTAAATACAATTTCTTATGGTTGAATGGAACAAAAGACCAATTGACTTTAGACCTCTATAACCACCAACAATACGGATGGAAAGAGGCCAGGATACAAGATATCTTACTGACCAACAACTGCACTGGAATGATTCAACCACACCCAGTATAAGGAAGAACAGTACACAATAAAGAAAAAAATACACGTGCATTTTAACAGTGAAGGCTAGTGACACTTTACTCTTCACATAATATTCAGAGTGCAATAATATTTCTGCAGTCAGCTATTCAATCTGCTGACACCTCAGGTTGTAGAAACTGTAGCCGAACCTGGTAGTCAGCATTCGGAGGACGCAGAGACTCTTAGAGTACGCCAGGGGTGAGAGCAGCCTGCAGCCGTCTGACCACGCATCTCCTACACCCAGCATGAGGAAACGCTCACCTTCCAACAACCTACCTGACGGGAGCTCGACGTTTGAGGCCAGGATGGACTGAACGAGGAGAAAGGTGCGTTTCCCGACTTGGGCGGGACACTGAAGGGCAGCGAACCCAAGGGTATACAAGTGCTTGACCTTTTGGGAAAGATTGATAGGGAGGGGTGTAGGGAACGCACCGAGAAGAGCTTCACTATTTCCATGCGCTCATGCAGACGTACATAAGGAAAGGGGTGAAGCTGTGGGATGCGCGTACCACTAAATCTTCACTGAAGTTCTGCAGGCCATCTTCGCTCAAGATGACACTGGAGAGGTAGGACTCACAGATGGAGACTAGCTCCCCGCAGTGTTTGTTCAGCACCCTCTGGAGAAGCAGAAGAGAACCCAAGACTCAGAAGGGGACGTGAGATTAGCCGGTCCTTTGCAATTGCAGAAAGCAGCAGCTCCCTCAGTCACACCCCACGCCGTTTTATTATATTTTTTTAGAGCCATTTTTCAATAGCTTTTGCACGTTGTCATTTATCAAGTTCCGTGCCCCAAGTGTTTCGCCATCTGTGCCGTCTGTGGCTGCGCGCTCGCTGACCTGCGTGTCCTTGACTGCCTCAACCTTCAGCAGCTGGAACAGGGTCTCTATAGAGGCACCAATGATCTCTAGGGGCACCTCGAAACTCTTCAGCCACTTCATGATATCGTCTGGAGTGGGGGGAGGATAGCAGGGGTGGGCAGGAAACACCACAGCATGATCTATGATGCGTTCATTCCCTTCTCCCAAGAAAGTGACAGATCTTGATTAGTAACGCACCCACAATCCTGCCCTTCGTTTCGTCATTGAGATGTGCGGCAATGTCCCCGATCACGCACAGGATGTGACAAGATGTGGAAGCTGGGACATTGCTTGTCCTAAAGTAAACAAACACAAATACAGGAAATGCCTTTAGGGGACGGACATGTGCTTTTTTTTTTTTTTGGGGCGGGTACCATCAGGAAATGAACAGGACACAAGACAGACAACAGTCCTTCAGTGGCATGAATGGCGTGTGGGGATGCATACCTGATCATTTCATCCCAGACATCCAGGATCTTGCCATAGTTGAGCCCGGAGCAGGTACCTGCCACCTTGGAGAGTAGCAGCCAGGCGGCCGAGGCGTGTTCCAGCCCCGTGTGGGAGATCAGGTGGTTGACAAAAGCAGAGGAGAACTTATTCTGCTTGGACCAGATGACGAAGGCCTTGCTGAAGTAACGGCTGACAAAGAGAGAAAAGCTAACGGAATGGCAATTCCATGCTTCCTCATGGACTTGAAAAACAACCAATTCTACCTCATACAATGCTGGATAAAGATCAATAAAAGATGTGTAATTAAAAATTAAAAAAAAAGGGGTTGGGAAAATATAGGTTTTAGATGTGACAAGTACGACCACAGCAGGGAACCCCACCTACCCAAGGTCCTGGCTCTCTCCACACAGCAGCCCAAGCAAGTCCCAGGCTAGCTTCTGTGGGACATGCTGGTCGCTGTATGCGCTGCCACTCTTAATCTGGCTGATTATGGCCTGGTCCAGGCATTCCAGGGCCTTCTCCTGGACCGAGCTCTCGGAATCGACGACTGCGGGAACTACTCCCCTCAGCCAGGCCATCTGCACCAGACCGGACCCAGGCAAAGCCTTGGCACGATGAAGACCACACCCATGAGAAGATCGTGTGAATTGAGAGGCACCAAACCCAAGGTAGCAGCATAGTGGTGGATGGGACACTCACAGTAAGAAGGTCCATGAGACACTGGAGGGCCTTCTTCTTGACGGAGACAGCAGGGTCCCGACAGCGGTCAGATAGGACGGCCAGGTTCTCCTGGGTGCAAGGGATCACGCTGTGCTTCAGGAGGCTCATCAGTGCCTGGATGGAGCAGTTGTGTTTTGAAGGGTGACATAAAAAAAAATATCAGACATCTGGTAAGGTTCTCCTGGCTTCAGAATCCATGTTGATTCAGGAGACTCCACCTGCAAGGCTGACTTCCTCACATTGGTCTTCTCATCGCTTGAGCGTCTCTTCAGCAAAGCCATCGTCTCTTTTGCTGTGTGGAAGCGGATTGACTTTTATACATTAATTCACTAGGGCTGAGCGGTATCTTATCGATATTATATCGCACATGCACAATAATGACCAGGGCTTCAGATGACGGGTGAAACATTTGGCCGGACACCAGCTTTTTGGTATTATACTGACGTTTATTTTTGCTCACGATTTGTTAAGCAGATTAGTAGTACAGCTAAAATATTGTGGCATTTTATGATGCCCCAAAGTTAGTAATTAGTATAAATTCTTAAAAGATGTTGTGGTTGCTGAACTGTTCCTTTCTTCACCACCAGTTCACTGAAGTATAAACCATAGTATACCAGAACAGTATTAACCGGTGACCTTCTGATCTCATGCACAGCATGCAAAGCCATCGAGTCAGATACCAGCAAATTATCAGAAGAAGACTTGCCCATTCACACTATACTGATGACTCGAGAACCTTACATTCAAAAGTGGTCACTTCCCCCTTTCCAGTCATCTCTATGGTTTTGAAGTTTATGCCCATCTTTTGCAGGTTTGTCTCATGGACGTTACTGGTGACTGAAACAGAAGTAAAATGAAAACAGAGCGACACTGGAATTAAAGCGATAAACTGCACTTTGGGTAAAAAAAAAAAAAAAAAAACATCATTAACCAGACATGCGTACTTTAGTCTGCTCTGATAAAACACTGAATAAAAAATATATATATTTGATTTAAATGAACTTACCCTCACAGCCTTCTGTCTCAAGAACTGTCTGTGCAGAAGCTGAAAACATCCAGATAATTATATATACACACCAAGTCAAGCCCATGCTTATCAAAAACACTACCCTTAAACAGAATGGTGTTCATGCCTCAAAAGTAAGTCATTCCTGATCCAAAGGACAAGAGTGAGCAGCAGAAGCAGGAAGGTTTATATCTGTGGGAAAAGCCTCTAGCGATTTCTACACACATCTACTCCGAATGTTTTCTGGCATCGTGGGGTCGGGGACACCAGCGTGAGATCGGGATGCTCACTGGCTGAGAAGAGCTCCTGGATGTTCTCCACCGTGTTGGGAGACTGCAGCTCCAGACACTGAGCCAGGCAGGAGAGGGCGTGGCCCCGCACCGAGGGCGCCCGGTCCGAACGCCGCCCGAACACCATCACTTGGACCAGGAACTTGTGCTGCAGGAAGACAGCCTGCTCTGGAGACAGGGAGGCCTCAGGTTGGCGTTCGGGCTGCTCGATTAGGGCCATCACCACGTCTAGGGCAAACATCCTGCGTGCGACCTGCCAGAAAACAAACACACAGACTTTCAGAGGTGGACATTTCAGGTCCAGAAAGTAAAAATCCAAACCAGGATTTTGTTTCAACCAACCAGTTGAGTACTATATGGCTGTGAATCTTTATACTCAGTAGGTTGGTTGAAATGAAATCCTGGTCTGGATTTTTACTTTCTGGACCTGAAATGTCCACCTCTGCAGACTTTCTATAACATATACTTACTAGATCAGTATTATACTTTACTAAATGGCCCTAGGTTGTATCCTTTACAAGTAAGAGTAATTTGTTCTGGTGCAATATTTAGTGTATTTTTGGTAAATGTTAGGTGAGTGACATGCAAATGTAGAAAATCTCAGTGCATGCAAAAACTTTTGACTGGTAGTGTAAAGGTTAAGCATGATGCCATTATCAAATCCTAGAACAGTGAGAATTCTTCTTATTAAGCGTCTTTGGAAGACACTGCGGATTAACATAACACAAACTATTATTCTACAGGCAGTTCACCACTCTCAGAAGTAATCTGTCCTACAAACCCCGACAGAAGTTTAATTTTACTGCATATCATTCAAGACACCTTATAGCAAAGAACATAAACCAAAAATACACTAGTGACATGTACCAAAGAACACATATTAAACAAACAAGGAAATAAAGTTTGAAAATATTAACACTGTAAACACTGAAGTTAGGATGCGTTTAGCCCAGATTTACATGAGCTGCGTATTGCCCATACGAGCGTATTGACAACGAGGACTGATGAGCATAGAAATATGAAGCCAGGAATTCACCTTTGAGTGTAAGGAGAAGGCATGGAACCACTTCATAAAGGAGGTGTACTCGGCACAAGGCATTTTGGCCAGCAGTTTCACAACGGCCTGTGCTCCACTGTTGCGATACTCCACCTTGTCAACCATCTGCAGGCCAAGAAAATGCTCGGTCATCGAGTGCCTTTTGGCAGGGGGATAAGGCAGCGTCTGGCAGAGTCGGGACAGTTTTATGGAGGTGATAAAACACCAGCCTCCCCTCCCTACCTGCACACAGATGTGTTGGAGCAGGATGCAAAGGGTCGGCAGGACGACTTCTTTCAGCTCGTCGACAATGTGGCTATGAGGAAAATAAGGAAAGCAGTTACCCATCAGAATAGCAGAGGGCCTAAATAGCCAAGATACTTTGATGGCATAGCAAACGCATGACTGAAATCAGATGCCACTTTATCAATCCCCAGAGGTAAATTATTATTAATATTCTGATATTAAAGAGGCAGACAACGAAAAAGAGGAACAATAATTAAGGTACACTTTAAATAAAATGGTGCAAAAAAACAAAAAAAGCTAAATATACAGATTTTAAAAAATACTTCAAATATACAGATGTAAATAAACTACAATTTCAACATCTTTACTTCACAAAAGCAACATGCAATTGAAAGAACACAGTCCCTGCAGCGATTGGGGATTAGGGGCCTCACACAAGGCCTGACTGCGAAGTCACTCTGCTGACTGTGAGAGTTGAACCGCCGACCTTCTGGTCACAGACACAGCGTTCTAACCCACTGAGGGATACACCACCCCCACAACAAGATAGATAAAATGAATAGGAGTGCACTCTTGTGAGGAGTGAAGACCCAGCGGTGTCCCTCACCATACAAATTTAATAGCCTGATCTCGGGCGGTAAACACGGCCGCCCCGGGAACCAGCAGCGAAGGGTGAGATGAATCTCCTTCACTCATCATGAGCAACACGTACAGGAGTCTGTGGAAGACCAGCTTCACAGTCTAAAGCAACGCATATGGGGCAGACAGAAACAAATCACACATGAATTTAAAATCGGCTTTTATGACATGACACTTTTACTGTCACTGTGAAAACATACAATGAAATTCCATGTGGAAACTAATGAAGAAAAGCAGCAATCTGGATGAGAACACTATGCACAGCTGAGAAGTATTAAAAAGGCACAGTAAGTGGAAATATAAACAAAACCATTAAGTTATAAACATAAAATAGTAAGTAGGAGTATTAAAATAATTAAAATTATGACTAGCAGCAACGGGTGGGATAACTGGCAGCAAGTGCATATTTTCTGGTAATTTGTAAGACTGGACAGAAAAATCTCAAACAAAGCATTTCTAATAAGCAGACAGATGTAATGGTTTCACTTGCCTAAACTGCAAACAAATTTAACGAAACACCATTTAATTATAATTATGTACCTCAGTCCCTTCTCCGTGCTTTGGTAAGCAGAGAAGTTTCAGTCCATGGTAGGCCAACTCCGGCAGCGACCCCATGTCATCAATGACCCTGTTTTTAAAAAAAAAAAAACACATGCATCAATAAACTGGTTTTTTAATGCATAAGAGCTCCCAACTCCCGTTTTAACACAGAACATGGGATTACTTACGGTTCCTTCTCAAACGCGAGTTCACCAATCACCGGTTCGAAATGGGTGAGCTCAGTGAAAATCTAAACAAAGTATTTGGCACAAAATTACAATTTACACCACCAAAACCATTTCAAGGGTTTAATCACACATCATGAGACAGCAGCAAGAACAGGACAAAGGAGTCAATCATTCACATAGATAATCAGACAAAAAAATTAACTATTATGCCAATACAATGCACAACCATTTATTCATCTGGACTTTATTTCCTGGTACTACAATGTGGCACCACCTACAGTTTGACCTAGGAATGTTCGGTTCATTTCCCCAGCCACAACACCACTGGTTGCCCAATAATGAGATGGAACCTTTCAGGTCACAGTTACAAATAAATTACCTATATACTGTAACTGACTCCTTTCCTTTATAAATGCAAACGTGTTTGAGGTGTTTTTCAACTGAGTGTTAAGCTCCAAAATGGCTTTACTGTGACCGTTTGCCTGAACGAGGGGTAAAGGCACACACACCTTGGCACATTTCAGAACGCACTGGGGCTTGTCTTTCAGGGAAAACCTCATCAGGAGCTTCAGGAGAGTTTTGACAAGAAGGACAATTCCATTCCTGATCTCCAACAGATCTCGGGCAGAGAAGAACATTTCCTCATCCTGGTTGTCTTCCTCAAACACGTCGGTCTCCATCTCCTGCCGAGACAGAAACATGTGGCAGTGAGAACACGGCAGAAAAGGCCTTGTCCCACAGTATGTGAATCTAGAGGAGTCCCTAGTCCCTTACTTCCTCATCAGCCCTCCTATGGGGTTTTGGTCGTTTCCTGCCTTTGGAATCACCCTGGGAACTCTTGAATGCTTCCTTCTTGCGCTTCTTGCCCGAATCCTGGGGCCAGCACTTTTTTGCCAAATCCAGACAGGCATCAAACAAAACTGGGTGGAACACTTTGTTTGCTACACTACCTGGGGGGGGGGGGGGGGAAGACACGTTATATATGTATATTAAAAAAAAAAGACAAAAAAACAGAACCCTTCTCTATATCATTAGGTATGCAGAATATTTCATGCAAAGAACTTCCATCTGATGGCAATATACTGACATGCCTTATATTTTTTGTCTTAATTCAGGCTGATATTCATTGAAACAACAATTATCTTAATGAGGAAAAGGACACTGAGTTGTCCATACTGTGTCTGAGTATAAGCCATGCAATGAACTGGTATCCCGTCCAATGTGTTTCCTGGGGTTAGCTACAGTATAGGGGTCACTGTAAACCCATAATGGATGGATGGATGGATGGAGCAACTTGCCTGGTATTCCTAGAAGCAGTAGGTAGATTGAAGCTGCCTGCAGCGCAACCAAACGATGAGTAAGATTAGCTGTTTTGAAGTTACGTCTAACCACAAAGTGGGACAGCACGGCAACCAGGCCCTTGGTAGAAATCCCACTGTCACCCAGCACCGTCCAAACATTCTGGGGATCAGTGACATCGGACGAAGTGGGAAAGAAAACAGAAGTAAATTACAACGGACGAAATTACATGTTACTTTCAAGCATCACTAAATACGGAGAGAAATATATACACTTACTTCGGCGTTTCCTTCGCCGTCTGTCGCAAATGGCAGGAGGAGTTTGTAAACAGTTCTGAAGGCATCGGGCCCATTACTAATGAGCTCATCTTCAACAGCTACATCTAACGGTTCCGCTTCGGTGAATTCCAAGTCCCAAACACCGTCTACCCAGACTACAACGAATTACATACAAGATAGATTAATCAAATGCATATACAAGACTTTCGTAAGCTGCTACCTAGAATGTCAGCTAAACACCTAGTTAAGTTACGTTTTAGCATGACAACCTTTAAGGAAAGCTAATAACATCGACATATAAAATAGCTTCCTTAAGATAAGATCCTTAATAGTGCTAGTTACTCTACCTAAATATTACTGCATATTAAACATTAACGCGACTACGCTCTTATTAGCTAGCTAGCAATGACAGCTGGCAGGATAAAATATATTTGACGACTCTCTAACCAAACTGCACAGCCTTTTCATAAATGTTCCGATGGCGACAGTCACATCAGCGCATTGAACATATGCCACTTACCTCTTGAAACGGTTTTTATTTTCAGCAAATCCAGCGCGCTTACAAGCTCCATGTTTGCTTTGAATCCACGCGCCAAAACACTAAGCGTTCCAGCGCATGCGCAGTGTCACACCATGGCCTTGATACCACTGTAAACCTAGTGTGATGGACTTTGGAGGAATTTGTTAATTACTGCTTAATTGCCAGTTAATGAATTCTTCCGAAGTCCGTCACACCACGTTCACCTCCATTTTATGCCTCGTATTTTTGTGTTCGGGTTATTATTAATTTAGTTTTTTGCATATCTGACTTTACGTGGCGATTTCCCTTTGCTTTATAGTTATAATTGTCACTGTTGGTGTGATTAGTACTAATAAACCGTCATAAGGTCAAACGAATATCCCTAAAGACTATTTTTGTGGGATATAATTTGGATTGAAATCGTGTCGCTGCAGGCTAAACACAAACACATGAAACTGGAAACAGAATAACACACTCCATTTGGTTACAAGTAATAAATAAAGCATTTATCCTCTTAAACTGGAATTGCCTAACGCGACTGTCATTCCAAGCATGTTAAAACATTAGGGACTGCGAACTTTCTCGACATGTGATCATTTTCAGCGAATCAAAAATGAATGCGGTTGTCATACATTACGGAAATGCTGATTAATACCTCTGCACATGTGTATCGAAATAAAAGTTTCGCTAACAATGTCTTCGTAGCCTACGAAAAGCGAAATGTTTGCAATAAAGACATCACATGATGAATATATATTCGGGCCGTATGAGGCAAAATGTTATTCTGTATCGTCAGTATATAAGTCGTATGTATAAAATAGGGCCTTTCGCTTTTTGTCTAATATTTTATATGTGCTCCCATTTTTTAAAATGAGATTTTACTTGCATTGTTAATGTCTTTTATTTTGAAATCTTCTAAAACTTCATATTCCTACCACCTCTGAAGCTGAACTGCACCCTGTCACAGGAAGTGATCTCAAAATTGAGGGCAACGTTCAATTTCTAAATTCTGTAAAAAATAATTTAAAAAAAACTATTGCAGAATATGAATATCATACTTTAGAATATCTGCCACTTCTTGATAATTTTATCCAAATGTCGCTATATAAATATGTTCATTACAAATTTAGCGTCTATTATATTTTACGTACATTAAACTTTTATTATTAATCTATGCGTGTTGGGATTTGCAGATATTAAAATACATTTTAGACACCCTACGCGAAAAACGCTTCCCGTATTTGTGCCACTGTGACGCCTGCGGTGTGCGCATGCGCTTGCAGAGAGGAAGCAGCTCGGAAGTGTTATCTCCAACATTGCTACAGTCTTTCAATTGGTAATATTTACAGCAACCTGCATTATTTGCTGTAAGTCGACTTGTTTTAAAGAGAAAAACACTATTGCCGCAGCTTGGTGAAATTCAGTTTGGAGACGAAGGTGGCAATCTTGATGAGTGACTGAATTCGGTTTTTACAGTAAGAGGGGAGTAAAATCCAACGGTGTAGGGATGAGCTTCTTTGGTTTTGGTCAAAGTGCAGAAATAGACATAGTCCTGAATGACGCTGAGACAAAAAAGAAAGTGGAGCACAAGACAGAAGATGGCAAAAAGGACAAGTATTTTCTTTTCTACGATGGCGAGACAGTGTCTGGGAAAGTAAACGTGACGCTCAAAAATCCAGGGAAAAGATTCGAACATCAGGGGATCAAGATCGAATTCATTGGGCAGATTGGTAAGTGGCATTCATATATATATAGGCCCATTTGCAGAGAGCTGTCGGAGGCCACGATGAATGCGGGGACGATGTGTTGCATTTTTAAGTGGCCCGATAAGAACTGCAACAGCGCTGAAGGGGGCAAATGAAAAACCCACAGCTAGATGCGTATAAACGTGGTGAATTTCCAACTGCACTACGTTTATTATTTTTTTGGGGGGTGGAATTGAGACGTGCATACATTCATGAGTAGGGCTGATAATGAAACTGACTTAAGTCTCGTGACCAGCTCGAGCGTTAATTTGCGCTAGAAGGAAGGAAGGAAGGAAGAAAGCAACGGCCCAGTCGCATAAACTTGCGGGGAAACACCAGACAGCGGAGCTTCCCTGCAACGTGCACATGCATCTTAGGCTTAGATGGAGGTAGACCAACAGACAGCTATTTCTGCATTAATTTGTCTGAGTATGACTGCGGCACCATTCCCTTATCTACGGGCCCGTCACTGCAAAGCAACGCCACAACGTCGGTTTATGAGTGTGGATATTAATAAGTGCTTCAGATCGCGTTTATCTTACTGCTTAATTAATCCTTGCTAAAACGCATTCAAAGATTGACGAGCGCTGTCATGTTTTGACAAAAACGATAATCATTAGGTTCAACAGGTACTAAAGAACACAAGGAATCTATTGAAATGTGTAGCTTCACAGGTCAACTGGTGTCTTATAGTTTGCTGTGTTTTGATACCTGGGTACAAAGAAGAATAATGAACAAAGATAATTAATGTAATTAGCTCAGTTTGTTTTGATGAGTGATGCCAGTGTCGGTTTTAAAACCACATTCAGTATTTTTTTTTATTAAATATGGCCTATAAGTGAGCTTTTTACGTCTCCCCATGAAAAAATCTCACTTCTACTAAATTACATGGAAACAGTCTCAGTTGTTTTGGGGAACTGAAAAAAACTGCACTGTGCCAGGTAGCTATGAGTTGTTCTGCATCTTGCCTTTTGGGGTCAATATGGAGTGACCGCTCCTGTCTCCACAGAGCTGTACTATGATCGAGGGAACCACCATGAGTTTGTGTCTCTAGTTAAAGACTTGGCACGGCCTGGTGAGCTCACACAGTCCCAGACCTTTGATTTCGAGTTCACGCATGTGGAAAAACCGTACGAGTCCTACACCGGCCAGAACGTCAAACTACGGTAAGCGCCATGCTCACTCTCTTTCACCTCCACCTGCATTTTCCAGGGGCTTCATTTAATAGTATTGTGTTAGACATGTGGCAAGATAAAATCTGGCCTCATTTTCCTATACCTGGTTATATGAGCCAATTAACTTTATGCACATAGAAGACTCTGTCAGTGTTTCTGAGGGCAGCAATACGCAGGAGAAGGTAATGAGAGGCCTTTGCATGATCTCATACACCAGACTGTGTTGTTTCTAAATTTATCATTTAGCGCAACTCCTTTTAGCTAGCCTGGTAAGCTGGTAATGACACCTTGATTGAGCCCATGTTACAAAAGATTTGTCCTGCTGACATAATTAAATGACAAGCAGAAAATGAACCTTGCGTATCGTTTTGGTAATGCCAAAGTCAGACCGAAGCTTTGCAGTCCACGATCATTTTTGCGCAAGGATTTTTCATGGTTTTCATCTTCGTTGTGGATGTTTTGGATGCTCTAGGTATTTTTTAAGGGCCACCATTAGCAGGAGACTCAATGACATCACCAAGGAGATGGACATTGTGGTACATACACTCAGCACATACCCCGAGCTGAACTCCTCCATCAAGATGGAAGTGGGAATTGAAGACTGCCTGCACATTGAGTTTGAGTACAACAAATCTAAGTAAGACAGGAACTACATTACTTTAAAATGTTTGTTCTTTTTTTGTTGTTGCTGTTTCGAACTTAAAATACTTGCTATTCTAAAGTTAGTAACTGAAAAGTGGAACTTAAAACTACAACTAACATCACTGCATCGTCAACCCAAATTTCTGTTCTCTGTTTTTATTTATTTCATTTTTTAAACTTGTCCACACAATGGTATATTCCAGTCTGGAAAATAAAATAACCACCCAATAATAAATTATTTCTTTTTTGATGTGGGGAAAAACAACTGCAGGTACCACCTAAAAGATGTCATAGTGGGGAAGATCTACTTCCTTTTGGTACGGATTAAAATTAAACACATGGAGATCGACATCATCAAACGGGAGACAACGGGCACCGGTCCCAACGTATATCATGAAAATGACACCATCGCCAAGTATGAGATCATGGATGGAGCACCAGTAAGAGGTAATGAACAGTTGCCCTTTCTTATTTCTCAGAGTCAAGTTACAAAACATAAACAAATGTGTTGATTATAGGGCTGCACGATATGCCCACAATTTGGTAAGCAGATTAGTAATGTGCCTAAAATATTAATGAGATGCGTATTGAGACACCCAAAAGTCAGTAGTCTATATAAATTCGACATATCCTTATGTTTATTAAATGTGGTTTGTGGAGGACGCCACAATGTTTTGGTAAATCATGGAAGCGAAAAGCACTGAAGTGGCGGTGAAGAAAGGTGGAGCTCTGCTCTTCTGAAAGAGGAGATATTGTGGATAAACAAGGTAAAAGACCGTGGTGGTACTTTTCGCAGTTTAAAGTCCGACACGATAAACATAAGGATGCGCCGGATTTATATAAAATGATACATGTAAAGTCCTGGTGATTATTGCAGATGCACCATATAATCGTGATGTGGGATCGTGCAGCCCTAGTTGATGATTAGAAAATGCTCCACCAGGAAACATGAAAAGCATTAGCTTTGTGGAACAAGGGTGCATATAAATGTTTTTGATGGTCATTCTTTTTCATGCTAGGGTGCCATAATTGTTAAAGGTTACACTGAAATGGATTATGTATGAAATGAGTTGCATTCTTGCAGTAACTGTACAAGACCTTTTTTGTGCTTTTCTTTTTTATAATTTTGTGTTCTACATAAAAAAAGAGATTCTTTGACATTTACACTTTAAATGAAAAAAGAATGAAAGGGCAATGTAACAGTATAGAATTATATCAGTCCATAGCACCTGCTCATGTAGTACATGGTAGATGATATGGAGAAACCATGTAAGCATGTTTTTCTGAAAATGGGAAAGATAGAATGTGTTCAATTATTCCTGCTAATATATTTATATCAGGTAGCAGCATTTCAGCACGGGAGTCTGTGCTGTGCATCAAAAAACATTTACAGAAGCCCGAGAAGTTTAATTCTTCATGACAGTGCCAAATCGAACGTCCGGTGTGTGTGCGGCTGAGACCCCGGTACCCTATTGAATTCACCACGTCTTTCTTTCTTTTCTTTTTAAGGGGAATCCATCCCTATTAGGCTCTTCTTGGCTGGCTATGAGATGACCCCCACCATGCGAGACATTAATAAGAAGTTCTCTGTGCGCTACTACCTGAACCTGGTGCTGATAGATGAAGAGGAGAGGCGTTACTTCAAACAGCAGGTATCGCTCTGGTGATGCAGGTCCACATGGAAAAGGCTTGACATGTTTTTGGATCTCTATCATGAGCAGCTTTAGGGAAGACCAGATGTCAGTAGCTGGATTCTTTGGGCTTCTGTGCTACAGTTCAGTAACACTTATAACAGCTGGTTTGAGTAGTTCCCGTCGAAATAACGGAAATCCGGAATCCTTTACAAAAAAGCAAATCCAGCATGTTCCTTAAGTCTTGTGGTCTGGAGTCGGACACGTTTCATGTCATTAGGGCTTCCCAACCTTTCCATGACCGTGGACCAACAAATGTTCTGCAGAAATGTCACTGATCAGTAAAGCTTGTCGTTCAGGATGTGGGGGGAACTTAACCGAGCCCTCCCCCAAACTGGGGGTTGGGAACCCGTATACTAGAATAGAATCCAGAAGGTGCTACTTGTCCAGTTGTTGTGGGGCTTATTGCAAAATCTCCGAACGACAAGAATTGTATGTAAGCACATTGGTGAAGCGTCCGTCCTCCCTCCTGCAGGAGATCACCCTCTGGAGGAAAGGGGACATCGTGAGGAAGAGCATGTCCCACCAGGCCGCCATTGCCTCACAGCGCTTCGAGGGCTCGGCCACCGCAGAGAAGGCTTTAGCCCAGGCCAAGGAGGACAGCAATTGAGTCCCTCTGCCCAATCCACCAGCTCCTTAGGAAAACGGGACTCTGTGTCTGTGTGTGTGCTGGTGAGTGCGTACGTAACGGCAGCGCCGCGGGGGGGCGTCGCCCAGCCCCCAGAAATTACCGCCAACCATGGTGTGAAAAGCCTCCCTTTTAATTATGGCTAAAGAGATTGGAGAGGCTGAGGAAGGACTGGGTTCATGCTATGGGAACAAACGCAAAAGCTGTGTTACAGTTTAATATTACTTTTCTTTAGTTTTTAAATCATCGTGTCGGGAATTTTTCCAATTGGCTGTTTCCATCATTGACAAGCTACGTGGCTTTTTTTTTTTTTTTTAATCAAGTGTGCTTATTCCAGTGGTCATTTTAACCTTTAGTGTTTTTGTACGTCAGTGTAATGACCTGCGGTTCCTTCCCCCTGAACACTAATCAAATTTAGAAAAAAAAAAAAAAAACATTGGCTAATGCAGGCATTTTGTTTTGCATTCCTTTTCCTGTTTTCTTCCTTAAAGATGTCTTTGTGTGCGACTTTGTCATATTGATGTGGATCATCACCAAGCCTGTACTGCACTTTCGTTGTCCAGTGCTTTGAAGTACAACATAGAATATAAACTCCAGTAGCTCCTTTTCACGTATAAAGACTTCAGTTATAACTGCATTTCTTTGCCCGACCTGAAATTTGAAAGCTTCTGCTAAGCTGTGACTTGGGGCTGGGGTGTGTTTTTAACGGCTGTTTTTGCTAATTGGTATAAATAATATACATACCTGTAGTTTAGATCAGTGATTCTCAACCTGGTTGTCATGGACCCCAAGACAGTTCACATTTTCGCTCCGGGAGCTGGGAGGGAGCAAAAACGTGGACTGTCTTGGGGTCCATGACAACCAGTTTGAGAAACACTGGTTTAGAGGACTATGGCTAAGATGCGTGACCATCTCAGACCATTCCAAAATGAAAGTATTTGCATATACATTAGGGTATTACAGTACTGTCTGTCATCTTCTAGTACCATGCCTTCATTTTCATTACGACATTTTTTTAAATTCATATCATACACACACTTAGTTTCTATTTTAAGCTGAAGGAAGGCCAAAATGGGGGGGGGGGATTATTGGTAAACAATTAACCATTTGCTTTATTTTTCATGGTTCTCTGTGTTTTTTTGTTTTTTTTTTTATCAAAAATGGGGAGGTAATCATCAGTATTATAACTATGTATACTGTTTTAAATATAGATATCCACACGCGTAAACAAAGGCTACAAAGCATGCAGCTGCGGACTACATATGTGACATTCCCTAGTGAACTAAAACTCAGATCCCATGCAGCTGTCTTGTACCCGTGTGGTGATTCCGGAGAACCTCAAAGCGCAGACATGTCTGTTGCTCTCTGTGTTTCTCTTCGTCTTGAAAATCATATCCGATGTTGAAGCTACTCCTGTGTTGGCATCTGTTGTACTGCAGTGCCTGAGTGAGAGCAGCTGCCACAACTGTGTTCTCATTTTGAAGCTTGAAACATGTCAGACGTCGGAATCACCCGCCTCAATTAAGTCTAAAACTCATGATGTCAAAGCAAAATTTATATATATTTAACAAAAATGTGAGCAGTTAGGTTTTGCGCCAGAGAAGTGAAGATAGACTGTTTGGCTTTGTTTAGTTGTTTGTTTGTTGATTTTGTTTGTTGCTGGTGTCAAACGGCTGCTGTGGAATTTACATTCCATTCATTTTGCAACAAAGGGGGATAACGTTTGTCTCAATTCTGCCAGTAACCAGATGCTATACTTTACTAACCACCCAGACCTTTCAACTTGAAGTCTATCCAACATGGACTGTTTTGTGTCTTTCAGCTACTCCACTGGCCTGTATAGTTAATTTAATTTGACTGTGTGTATTCAGAAGTAGTAGTGTGATTATTATACCAGCACATAACATAACACTGTCTGATCTGCGTGGACTGACGTACAGCATTTTATTTCCTCTTTACTTAAAAAGTTCTCTGGGGATAGAGCAGATATGAAGTCTTTAAACTAATTATCACGTGTCAAACTAGAATTGTCACCTCCCAATAACCTATAGGTGTCATCTGTTTAACGAATAGAAATTTAAAACTGGAAGTAAGGTTTGGACTCAAGTACTCATGTACATTTTTTAAAATGTTTCCTTGCGTACTATTTTTAAAAACAGTTCAGTTCTTTGTTCTCTGCTTGGCAGTAGGTTGAATTAGTCTCCTAATGTTATATATTGTGCAGAAAAGACTGCTTTTAAATGGCATTAGACACATACCTTTTTATGATTATATATGATGAATGTTATACGATTATATGAATATATATATATATATATTTACAGAGTTGTAGGTATATATGATTTAATTAACATCTAAAAGAGCCAGCTTTAAGGTACCAGGCAGTTTGTGAAAGGGAATCTCACCACACGCGTATTTGACTAATAGAACCTTAGATCTCAACACAGGACATAAGTACACTGCTTTCTTGTTCCTCAGTTAGTTGTATTTTGCGTCTCTGTATTTTAAATTGTTTTTAATCCCTTTTCTTTGATTAAAAAGAGAACTGTCAAAATGTGTGTCCCTGAACCGGTTCCTTTAGCCATGATAATGCGTCTGTGTTTCTTCACTTCTCTGTGGTTCCTGTGTACACAGTTCATCGGAAATATCCTGGCTCAACCGTCAGTCGCCACAGCGGTGACAGGCCTGTCCCCAGCGTGAACCTTCAGTACCACAGTTTCAGTTAATAGCAACAATCCTTGTCTAGATTAGTAAACCATTACCAAACATATTCTACGGTGAATATCAGTGTATATGAGCAGAATCTTTTTTTCCCCCACGTGTAAATGACTGACTGGCCATCATCGTAAACCTAGTAGATAAACCTAAAAGATCAAAAACAATGTTTATATGTCGTGTACAACAATGTCCGTCTCGGATCTGAAACTTAAAACTGAAAGTTAAACTCAGTGTTTTTAAGCACAGAGCTACCAGTATTAACCTGAATTATGTTTTATACACCAATAATCTGAGGATTAATCAGTTGCAATTTTGGGATCAAGCTTACGTCACTGGTTATGATTAACCATGATTAACTTGGATTCATGAAGATCTGACTTGACTCTATGATAAACCATTACGCCTTCTATTCATTGTGAACAGGCTGTAAGTCATTCAAACACACTCCCTTCCCTTAGCTTTTTCCGTGTTACTTTGACTTCTGAGCCTCTCAATAAACTTTGCTTGTAACTTCATGTTTGGGGGTAGATGGGAGTTTCAGGTGCATTATGGGTAGCCAGCAGGGGCTCACCAACACTCAAGCCACGCATTTGTCCGGGGTCACCACACTGCATGTAGATTTGACATCCTCCTTATTCAGGATATGCCGACACAGCATTTTCTGCTAGCCAGCTAGCTAGCTATGATCTTCTGATTTCTTCTGTTTTTTCCAGGTCTTTTCTACTGTGATTGATGACTAAGGGAATTTGCCCTGTGTGTGACACACACTCATATTCATACCCCAGTGAAACATGGCTGGCCATCTAAGTATTTGTAATGACTCGGATGGACATGCAGCATAAAATATGATTGAGAAGATACTTTGGTTGCGTTTCACTCGTATGACTTTCTAAGGGTCCCAATAATTTTGATGCACATGCTTAAGAAAAATATAAAATGTGAGCCTTTTTCCTTTCAGTTATTTTACTTCAGATAACAACTTAATATTTTGAATGAAAGATCGAGATGATAAACAACACTTTATTTCACAGGCCATTTTGCTTTTATTTACAAAGGTGGCCAGTCATTCTGGAGGACAATGTTCACAATGCCGGATCATGCAAAATTAATCTTGTGCAGTTCTACTAACTACCCAGATAAGGATGTTGACCGAAAAGGCTGCAGTACCAGATGGTTATCCACCCAGAATATGCGTTCTCTAGATATCATTCAACCGCAATTGCAGTAATACATTAAAGTATTGACACACATTAAGAAATCCCCCAGCTGTTTCTTCATGAAAGCAAACAACAGATCAGTTTGCTCTGTGAATTAGGGAATTTGTCAGCATCATATATCAAACTGCTTTTTCAGTGAGTAAGCATTTTAACACACTTATCGATAGAACCGTGGGGAAATTAACTTTAACTGCATTCACAAACTACTTATAACTGTGCCTGGTAAATGTGCACGGGAGGGCTGGTGTGTGTAAATAATATGGTACTACTTAATTCACTGAATATATGTATGAGGTTGTGAGTGTGTGTGTGACTGGGCGGGGGGGTGTCCAATGCTGATTAACAATCATTCATGTGGTTTCATTTTAGTGCTCACTAATTGAACAAGAACAATACTTAATAAAAGTCCTCTTTCTCTCTTGTTTCTTTACACATGCATGATATATGCAGATAAGCCTTTAATTCAGTTACACTTCGATTAACACTCACCATAGTGTTTTAACACCTGCCCAGGTCTTGCGACTCCACCTTTCCTCACACCTGAGCCAGCGAGCTGTACCTACTTCAAATAGCCACTAGAGGTCTCTCCTTCCCACGCGAATTCACACCTGAACATGGTGCACCCAGTGCTTGAAGTGAAAGCTGAGGCGAGTACAAAAACTGAACGGGAGTCGGCTGGCTAGTAAACACACAAAAAAGCATGAAAAAAGCATGTCAGACTGGCAAAGTAACCCATGATATATAATTACCACATGTTTTAATTTTGATACACCAATGGGAGAAAGAATAGTATAAGATACTATTGTACAGTATTGTATAGTACTAAAAAGTATTCTGGGCCAGCAAATGTTTGACTGAACTAGCTCAGTTGGATAGTAGCAAAAATTCCATGTTTATGGGGCTAAGACTCCAGACCAGGGGTCCCCAAATTTTTTTCCTCAAGGGCCAAATAATATCAGAAAAAAAATGCACCAATCACGTAATCCGTCTTCACTTATATTTTGGTCTGTCACTTGGTGACCACAGACAGTCCATCCTTTCTACTGGTTAGTTTGGAACAGTTTCTTTAATACCTACCAGTATGGTACCAAAGTCCCACACATCTTACAGTTTTTCAATTCTAAATATTTTCCCTGCTCTTGTCTCGTTTGGCAATGTTTCACTGGCCGATGTGGCGTGTTATAGCTTCCAAAACTGCGTAAAACCACCAAAATGCTTCCAGTATAAATTATATTTATGTTCCTCAAGGTTATGGTGGAGTGACCAGTTTCATGCAAGTTACTCGCTGGATGCATGTGAGTTACTCGCTGGATACATGTGAGTTACACATGTCCGCTCGTAGACTAGGTTGCACAGAGCCTTCATTTGGAACGGTGACATTGTGCGTTATAGAGGTGCCTTCCTCTGAGCTGAAACGTTCAAGCCGGGCCTCCATCAGAGGCATCCAGTCAGAGTTCTTTGCCTGTTCTTTGATGTAAGCTGCCATTTGCCAGGCAGGATGCAGAATAGGACCAACTGTCACATCACTCTGACTGAGCAAAAGGGCAGATGGTTGCCTGGGGTCCTGGAAAGACGGATCAAAACAAATGAATTCTGACTCCAAGTGCTGGGGAATCAGTAAGCGTGACCTTAGTGACCTCTGTGTGCCCTCAGGGCATACGCCGCAGGCATACCTAGCTGAGGTTTAGCATTTCCCTGTGCCAACACTCCAAACACATCATTTCAGACCTCTAACTATCTTCTCATTTGCAGTGCATGGTAACTGACCGCTTTTCCAAGCACCAGTATACAGCAGGTGGCACCTGAAGCTTATGAAATCAATGGACTTGGGTAACGCAAATACGCTTCCCCTCATGTGACAGCAGGCAAGAAAATCAAGAAAAATGCCAGCATAAACACTATTTAATTATTGATGCTGGACCAATTTTTATAACAACGTTAAGTAAATAATTCATAGTTGGGAAAAGGTAAGAGATGACTCAAATTGTTCAGTCAGATTTACTCCTAGCTGGAGGTGAGATGAGTGCTTGTCATCATGGATCGTGCTTATAAGTCGCCTTGGGATCTTATTCAGTTACTATTACAAACCTCACTTCTGTGCTGCGTTTCAGTATGAAAGATAACTAACACTAGCATGGATGGGTGTTCAACAGAAAGGTAAGGTGACACCCTTGATGGATGAATGGATGGATGGATGGATTCTTTCAGACCCTGGCTGCACTTTGCCCAATGAGCACAGTATAGATTCAGACTTACTCTCTCTCTGTACTCTCCACTGTGATGATATTGGGGCTGTCAATAAAACTAACAGCATTATGCTTGGACGCCCAAATCTGCATGCTCTTGGCCTCACACACCCCCAGGCTACAACATGCAGGCCAACTGGGGCATAAAGCACAAATAATTTAACGTGTGTGCCTTTAAGATCCCTTATGAACACATTCACTTTCCAAAAACTGAACTCGCTCTGTCATTGGAATGAATCTGGACTCTATTCAGAGTAATAAGTCCTGTCCTCTCAGCAGAGACCTGCTACACTGCAAGTGCACCTCCAGATGCAGGTGACTGAGTGATTCTGCTGCTCCTCTCTTCCTACTGCCATTCGTTTATTCCCCTGTACATTTGCCACCTGCACCGTTGTTGTTATTCGTTTGTAAGTTCGGGAGGGTTTCTTCGCTTATTTTTGTAACGTTGCTAGACAACGAAAAAAGCGCCCAGCTTGGTCTCATGTTAACTTAAGTGAATGGTCCATTAATGCAATCCCGGTACCAATATATCCATGAATTAGGGGGACACTACATTAATTTCATTGAAATAATGCAGCCATCCATCTTCAAACCTCTTATCCAACACTGATGATGTGCAGTGCTTGATGTTTTTCTCTGAAAATGTCTGCCTATTCATGAAGCTAATGAAGTATTCTGAGGAACATTAACGGAGTGATAACAGGGATGGTTCTGGTGAGGGGAAGGTGCCCCCCTGACAACATGCATGCCCCCCCCCTACTGGGGACTGAAATAAATGTATCATTATTATTACTGTTATTATTATTTACATTTATATATGTGTGCTAAAATTCTATGTACTGGGAACAGGTAAAACACAAACATAAGCACATTTTCTTGGCAGACTCGGTTAAATTGATAACAGAAAAAAATAACCAAGCATGTGGAAGCAAGACAGTCTAAACAAGAAATCAGAGTGAGTTACATGTTTGTAAAAACTGTAAAACGGGACTGCAAAGCACTGCAAAAATAACTTGTCAGTTTTCAAATTTGTGTTTTGCTTCTTAATGCTGGCAATCTGGTTTAAGTAATGCTTGGAGGACATTAAGATCAAATGCATCTGGCCTGGCCCCCCCAACAGAACAACTGGCCCCAGTCTGTTCCCCCCCAGTTGAAATGGTCTAGAACCACCCCTGGGTGTTAGTCATAAGGCATGCTTTTGTTAATTTTCCAGGGTGACCACTGTCTGAGATCCACCATCGCCCCAGAAACGCAGTCCTTACCTCGCCAAGTAAAACGTCACACCTGTTTCTCATTGCAGAATATTATGATAAAATATTAATCAGTAGTAATACAATAGCTCTTCAAGGTTTATATTCTGGGAACCCTACATG